GTATGGGCCGGGACACAGCCAGACGCAAGCTGGAAGAGGCGGAGGCCAAATATGAACGGCGGCAGGAGGAAAGACGCCGAGCGGCATCGGAGAAAGGGAGGGGGGGGGAGGAGGAGGAGGAGTTGGATATGGATGAGTTGTGAGCTGCACGGAAAAGCAATGTGGGTGAAACATGAGGCCAGAGGCGCGTGGCTCCTGAGTTTGGTTTTGGAGCTTTGCTGGATTTCTCTCGACACACGCTGCCTTACATTTGGTGTGGGCGGGGGGCACTCACACACCTGCTTCCCTGTCACACATTCTTATTAGCCCTTAAATACAACCCGCGGCCAGGACTCGCGACGCGAGCTCTCCTCCCGTCTTGTTCCATGCCCAACCCCCTTTCTTCTGGCGGGCCCGTAGTCAATCACAGACCTTTTTGTCTTACCCCTCATCCCTTCACACCCTCCCCCGTCTCCATCCCCCGCCATGTGGAACCGCTCCCCGACGCGCACCCTCAGCCCCGACAACAGCTCAGGCAGGGAAAGGCCTCCGTCCTCTCCTCGCGCCAGTCGTCCAGCCCCCCTCGACCCTCATACCAGGCCAGGAAGATCTCGGCCGCGGACCTGCCCGAGGGCGCCTTGAGGGAGGTCCAGGGGTTGATCACACTCGAGGACATGGGCAGCGCCCCCACGGTCGACCCTTCCAACGGAAACGAGGGGGGCGCGGGCACCAGCTCCCAGAAGCAGTGCCGAAAGCAGGCGTCGATGAAGTAGCCGTGGGGGACGGCGGAGGCGGCCAGGCTCTCGCGGAAAGCGCGCACGAAGGCCCGGGAGGCCGCATTCACAGCCTCCGCCTGCCCCTCCGGGTCGGTTAGGCAGGCGAAGCTCGAGGTCTGGGCGCCGTCGTAGCGGCTGAAGAAGGAGAAGACCGGGGTGCGGAGGGAGGGAAGCAGGTGGCGTGCAAAGAGACAGCGAGCTCGGACCTCGGCCTCTGTGTCCCCAGGCGGGGGAGGGAAAAGGGACGGGGGGGAGGGAGGGGCGGTATGTCGGACGAGGGATTGAGCGGGGAAGAGCGCCTCCAGGGTCCTCAGGCGCGTCGAGGGCCCCGCATGCATGTAACGCCGCCCCTGTCCTGGGACCTTCCCCGCGCCCAACACCGTCTCGACAGCGTCCTCACCCTGTGGCCCCGACCCCCCCGCGGCCAGGCAGCCCACGGCCTCTGGGCTCAGCGCGGGGGCAAACTGCCTGCTCGCCAGCCACCGCAGCGTCTCACCGCCGCTCTGCCCGCCCTCGCACCTTGCGCCCCCATCCTTCTCGTTGCCATGATTTCCCAGTGCCGAGGGCGGGGCGGTGTCCACGAAGAAACCGGAATCCGCCAGGCCCCGAACGCGCGCCCCCGCCCGCCCCGTGAAGCGGGCCGCTACCTCGTCCACGTGCAGGTAGACGGACAGGCCCCCCGCGGAACAGCCCGCAACCACAACGTCCGAGGCCTCGAGCAGGCCGTGCCGGCGGACAAAGGTGTCGAGGAGGGCGTCGTGGATGCGCTGGCCCCGGTAGTAGACATGGGCCGTCAGGGCTTCTCCGGAACTGGCATTCAGGAATTGCGTAGTGACCGAGACAGCCTGGAGGAGCATGCTGGAGAAGGAAGAACCGTCGCAGTACTTCATGAAGAGGATGTTCCAGTCGTGCAAGGGGTTGCTGCTCGTGTTCAGGAAGTAGGAGCCCAGGCAGGTCGAAGCCTCCATGTAGGGCAGCCACTCCTTGCTGCTGCCCAAGGGGGTTTGGGCGCGCAGGTGGCAGTCCCGGTCTGTCGCAGGGGAAAAGGGAAGAGTTTTTATCGTTATGATTGGCCAATTTTGGGCACGCCTCACATGATGGGCACGGATATGGGAAAAGATCAGTCAAGAAAAGCTCGTAATCGGGCGCTGCGAGAAAACGAACGATTGACGTAGAGGGACGACAAACTTCGACCCGCACACTTGACCTACCACTGGTACACCATCCGCCACCTTCATAATAGAGCAAGAACTTGTTGGCGCCGGGACCCTGACCCGGACGATAGTAATAGCCTGCCGGTGACCCGTCCAGGCACACGCCGCCGCCATCGTCCTTGTTCTCGCCCTCCAATGGAAAATATTCCAATATGCCGGTACCAGAGGGGCGGGAGATATTAAACACTTGCTGTTGTCCCTCAACAGCAAGGATATTGGCCACAAGAAGGAAAAGAAGGAAATAAGGACGGAGGGGCCTCGGCTGGGGCGGATGGCGCACTTCGACAACGTCGGAGTAGCAGACGTATGCGTTAATAGCTGCGGTCCTCAGGCCCATGATCGAGAACCAAAAACGGGATAATTGCTGTTTCCTCAATGAAGCTAGTCTTTTCAATGTAACAGGAGCTGGAAAGATGAAATTGACTGAAACAGGGAGGAGAACAAGGGGAACCTCACTCCGGAAAAGGGAATTGTTCCACGTTCGGTATCAGCCTCCAGCAGCAAGACGACAATGTTCTTTACGGAAATTTGCCATGGGCTCGACAAAACGTCCACCTTCTAGGATGGCGATGGATCCTGTTCAAAATTAGGTGTGTGCATGGTGAGCATGCGGTCAGTGGGTGTGACTTTCCGTCCCATGGGCACCTTCAAGCGAGCCCGTGCTTTGCCTCTTCCTGCCCCCTAGACAGCCAACGAGCGAAGATCTCGTCGACGTGTTCGGGCGCGAGACGGTGACAATTCGCACGGCCTGCCCCCCTGCTGCTCACTGGAGCCACGCTCTGGTTCTATGAGACTCGGAGTCGCGTGTGGATGGTCAGATGGCTTGAGTGGCGCAGCATGCTGCATTTCCTGCGTAATTCTGTTTTTTTGAGCCGGCCTGAGTCATCTTGAGAGCGGAGACACGCATGTGACGGAAGGGCTTGATCGTGCCAGAGCCCTAAGCCGCGCTTTCTCTATTGCCACGCCCTCTTCTCATTCCACATTCTTCCGCACCAAAAGTAGACAGAGACCAAGGGATAACAAATCTGTTTGTGGCTCGATCTGCCCGTGCGAGGTGACCGTGAGGCCGCCACCGTGCTGTCAAGCCACCACCAGCAGCGCACCGCCTCCGCCCACCCTCCTTGTCAAATTATATACTTTCCGCGTAAATATTAGATAGTACTGCCTATCATGTCTACTAGCCTAATGACACCCAGCCGGGGGAAGAAAAGAAGAGCCCCGCAGACCCTGAGCAGCTGTAAGCTCGCAGCGGCGGCTGTGGGGTTGTTGTGTCTTGCATGCCCGCAAGGAACTTTAGGTTTCGTTCCGGGATCAGTGAAGCCTCTAGAGACCATTCCGGCTTCAAGAGCGTATTTTTTGTCCTCGCCTCACATGCCTGGGTTTGGAAGGCGGCACCAGCCTTGTTTGGCTGGCAAGATGGATGGAGGCGGCGGCAGCAAAGTCCAGACGTTCGACCCCTTGGCATTGGTGGGCAGGAAGAATAAAGGCCGCGCCTCGTCTACCACCAGCAGCAGCGGCACGACGTCTTTATTGGAGAGACAAGAGAGCTTAGAAGGAGAATTAGAAGAGGGAGTGTCACTGGAGGGAACGGACGAGAAAGACAACACGATTTACAAGGCCATGCTGGTGGTGGTAGCTTTGTTGTGGGGCTCTAACTTCGGCGCGCTCAAATACTTGGACACCTGCGGTGTGGACGTATCTTTGCTCACAAGCATGCGCTTTCTCTTGGCCTCGGTGGCGCTCTTACCCTTCTTATGGGGGAAAGGAATGCCGGTCTTGAAGGCGGGGCTGGAGGTGGGCCTGTGGGTCACCCTGGGGTACATCACGCAGGCGATCGGCCTGGAAACTACGGAGGCCTCCAAGTCCGCCTTTATCTGCTCTCTGACCGTGGTGGTGGTGCCGCTCATCCAAGGTCTGCTGGGCAAGAAGATCGCGCCCACCACCTGGACCGCCTGCGGCCTGGCCGTCCTCGGTGTCGGGCTCCTGACCTTGCAAGGCGCCACGGGCCCCGTGATTGGAGACTTGTGGTCTCTAGGCCAGCCTCTGGGGTTCGGTATCGCCTTCATGCGCATCGAGCACTACATGAAGCAGCTCCCTGGCAAGGCCATCCCCCTGGCGGCTGCCCAGATGATCTCAGTCTTCGGAGTCTCGGCCGTATGGGCCGCCGTGACGACCGGCATGTTCCAGAACACGGGAGACCTGAGCATCCTCTTCGACACGCCCCACTTCCTCTCTCTCCTCTACACGGGCCTGATTTCGAGCGCCCTGGCTGTGGTGATCGAGTCGGCGGCCCTGGAATACGTCTCCTCGGAGGAGACCTCGATCATTTTCTCCACGGAACCCCTCTTTGCCGCAGCCACGTCCGCCGTGGTGTTGGGAGAGCGCTTGAAGCCTTCGGGGATACTGGGTGGGTTCGTGATCCTTTCCGCCTGCCTGCTTACCCAGGTGGACCTGACCTCTCTGGCCACCGTGCTGCCTATCCTCTCCCGAGTGGCGGACGAGGGCAGCCAGCGTACGCAGGACTGAAGCGAGGGAGCGGGGATGTGCGACGCGGGGAGTGACTGGAACCCAGAGAGCACCGGAAGATCATGATAGGGACGGAAGCCCTGGGGCTGGAGATAGGGGTTGGACGGAAGGAAAGTGCGAAATTGTCGGTGACGTTAGCGGGAGCTTGGAGATTGAGGTTGAGCTGTAGGGGTACGCGCGAAGGCTGTCGAGCATTGTAGACGATAGATTTGGTTGTGTGGAGGCGGAAAATAGGGAAGAGAGTCCCGGCTAGCCAGCGGAAGATGGTAGCTTAAAGCCAGAGATGAGTGTGAGGGAGGGATTGAAAATGAAAGATGCCGCCTTTGTGGGAGGGCATATGGAAGCCGGGGACATTGTCATTACTACACACGGCCGTAGGACTGCCGTCGTAGCAACCAGCGCCAGGATGTAATTCGGAAAAACGCAAGGAAGTAAGAGACGGAAATTCATGGAGGGGCACGGAAGTCGCGACCTCCGGGTGCGAAGAAAAGAAGACAAATATTATGTCAGAAGGAAAGTTGCGAAAATTGGAGATTTTTTCGCCTCGCATGGACGGGGGGAGATCTAGGCGTCGAGTCCAATGCTTTGCCAGAAAAGACCAGTGTCAAGCAGCTGACAGATCACGTTCGTGGCCTGCCTCTTCCTTTTCAGTCTCCTTAACACGGATCTGATCTCGATGCCCATGATCTGTCGCGTTGCTAACTTTTCCGCGAGACTGAGTACAAGACAAGATTACCAAGGGAACGATTTGATCGAAGCCGATATACTCATGTCCTCACACACAAGCTCTTTACTGCGCTGGGGCTTTGCTTGCTTCAACATTTTTTTGCTTACTAGTGGACCTCATGATTTTTTTCTTTCATACGCTTTTATTCGAAAACGTGCTCTCGCCCTTAAATAAAAGAAGCTCCTTAAGTGTCTGATCCCCTTCTTTCGTCACCACCACCCTCAAATCCCTCCGTGCGTCCACACACACGCCTTTCCTCCTCCTTTTTCTCCTGAGACACCAATTTCCCTGCTCCGTCCAAACTCATCGGTACATCTGCTCGATCTCCTGGGCGTAGTGTCCGCTCACCACGTTCCTCTTCACCTTCAAGGTCTGTGTCAAGAAACCATTCGCCATGTTGAAGGGTTCCAGCACCACCTCCACCGCCCCTACCCGCTCCGTCTCCCTGAACGACTTTCCCATCGCCCGCGCAATATCCGCCAGCAACGCCTTCTTCACCTCCTTCTTCTCCCTCAGGCTGGCTTCCACCTCCTCCAGCTCAGCTCGACTCCCCGCGATCCCGTTCGTCAGGACCTGCCCTCCCAATAACTCGGCCACCCGCTCGGCCAGGCCCCTGTCCACCAGTCCCGCCCGCGCCAAGGCCCTCACGTTGGGTACCACCAGCATCCCTAGCACTTTCTCATCCTGCCCGACGCACATGACCTGGTCTACCAATGCTGAGTTCGCGCAAACCACGTCCTCGATGGGCTGCGGCTCCACGTTCTCGCCGTTGCTGAGGACGATCGTGTCCTTGGCCCGGCCCGTGATGATCAAGTGCTTCGTCAGAGGGTGGATCCTGCCCAGGTCCCCCGTGTCCAGGAAGCCCTCCTGGTCCAAGACAGCCTTGCTCGCCTCCGCATTGCTCTTGTAGCCAGCCATCATCTGCGGACCCCGCATCAAGACCAAGCCCGGCTGCCCCTCAGGCAACCGGGCCCCAGACTCCGGGTCCACAATCTTCACCTCCGTGTCTCGCGCCGTCCGCCCCACCGAGCCCGCCAAATTCTTTTCCGCCACGCGATTCGTGATCACCGGCGATGTCTCCGTCATCCCGTAGCCCACGATCACGGGCGTCCGCAGGAGCTCGAAGAAGTCCTCCAGGACCAGAGGCATGGAGCTCCCGCCGGCCACCAAGACCTTGATCCTCCCACCCAGACCTGCCCGCACTTTACTCCAGACGAGCTTGTCCCCCACGGCGGCCAGGGGGCTAAGGACGAGGGCGAGGACGAGCGCGAGGAGGCGTTCGATCGGGTTGGGCGCCCTCGAGCGCAGGACCAAACCGCGGGCCACGCGCCAGGCCTTGACCCAGGCCGACCCCACGCGGGTGAAAAATTCGATGATCTTCTTTTTCGCGCCTTTTTCCGTAGCAAACTTTTGCAAGACGCCCCGGTAAATCGTTTCCAAGAGCCGGGGAACTGCGACGATGAATTGGGGTTGGTGCTTGGCCAGGTCGGCCTTGAAGTTCTTGACGTTTGAGTAGACGACGTGGATCCCCTTGCTGAACATCCAGTACTCGGCGGTGCGCTCGAAGATGTGCCAGCAGGGAAGGACCGAGACGAGGACATCACCCAGGACGGGGTTGTAGGCGGGCTCTTTGGAAGGGGAATCCGTGAAGGAGTTGTAATTGACCTGGTGCAGCAGGTTCGAGTGCCGGAGGACGACGCCCTTGGGCTTGTTGGTGGTCCCCGACGTGTAGACTAGGGTGGCCACAGAGCGCACGTCCTTAGGGACGGGCCGGAAGGTCAGGGGCCGGGCCAGGGAGGCGGAGAGGGCCTCGTCGCAGACGTATGCGTTAATAGCTGCGGT